AGGTCAGGACGGCTCCGCCTTCCCTCCTCTCCCGACACCCAACGGCCAATAGGCAAACGCTACCCTCGTGCCGAGACGGAACCTGCTGCGCAGAGGCCCCCCAATGCGCCAGTGCTTCCCCCATGCGCACATTCTGTTGCCAGCGACCGCGGGCGCCTGCCCATTTTCAGCGCCGCGCGCCGCCTGCTGCCACTTTGCCGACTCCCGATTTCTGAGTCGTCCTTAACCCGAGTCGCCGCGCTCTTTCTTGTAGTTGCGCCAACAGCAGATGGATTCCTCTCTCCCGCGGCGCGCAGCACGCGGCCAGCCCTGGTCCTAGATGGCGGGAACGTTGGCAAAAGGCGACAGCGGCAACCTCAGGAGGCGCGATGAGAGCTGATGCGCCGTAGCACAGGGTCTCAACGCCCACCTTAGTTTTCTCGCCCGCGCACATCCGACGTGCCACGTACACCTACGGCGGCTTTATCTTCAGCAGGCTATTCCACCCAGTAGGGTCACGGTCAAACGTGGCCGTGGCTTGCTCACCCACGCATGCTGATCCGCCGGCGCAATGAATGCACGAGCCACACGTGGCCGAATTGGTGACACTTAGTTCCAAACCGACGGACCGAGCTCTCTCATGCACCTCCTCTGCGGTGACCTCGACCGTCAGGTTCGAGCTGGGGGTTCGGATGCGACGACGGGGCGCGCCAACCTGCGCCGGTCCTGAGAAAGCCCTCGCCAACCTTCACTTCTTTTTGGCTCCACCTCCACCTTGAAGCTTCGACACCCCCCCGCCCGCCCACCCGCGCCGTTCGTCCACCTATCCTCTTCCTTTTTCCAGCTCGCGTGTCGGCGGATAGGGCGACGGGGTGGATCGCGGGCGGGGGCGGGGGGCGCGTCGCCGCGGGCTGCTGCCGGTTATGATTTGCACTCCCCCCTCCTGGACACCCCCCTCTTGGCCGCTCCCGACCAAGGTCGAGGATGGCCAACAAAGACACGTTGAGATATTTGTTGCGACGCGAAGGAGGCTGGAAAAGGAGGAGGACGAGGACGAGGACGAGGACGAGGAGGAGGAGGAGGAGGAGGAGGGGAAGGAGGAGAGGAGTTTGGGCGTGGAGGATGCGCTGTTCAGGGCCTCTTCGCTTTGGGCCCCATGCATCGGGGCCCCTCCCCCCCGCAGTGCTGCGGAGGTGTTGTGCGCCGTGGCCGCGGCCGCCAACCCTGGGAGCTACGCGAAGGCACCGCAGGGGGGGCGGCTGTCGGTTGTGGGCTCCGTCGCCGTCGGGGTTCGCATGGTAGGACCCGCCAGGGCTTAGCGGGCCCTGGAAACGACAGGGTCGTTTTTTACCGGAAACGTTTTGCCGTTTTTGTTGCCGGTTCCGACGCCGTTTTTTTGCCGGTTCCGTCGCCGTTGCTTTACCGGTTCCGGCCCTGGTTCTTGGTCCCCCCGCTGGGCCGCGCACATGCCGCTGGTTATGATTTGCACCCCCCGCTCTTGGACACCCCCCTCAGGGGTCGCGATCCTCAGGATGTGTATCGATCCACCGTGTGCTTTACCCAGTTCGTCTGCTCCTACACACCGTCGCCCCCGCGAGCCGTGGCAGCAACCCGCAGCCGCCCGTCCGTGGACGGGATGTGCGTCGCAGGAGGTCCAGTGGCTCTTCCTCATCCTCTACTTCCTCCCTCCCTCCCTCCCGGTTTGTGTGTATGTGGGGACATCAACCGCATCTTGTTGTGGTCGCGCCGCCAACTCAAAAAGTATTTACACCGTTCGGCGTGTGCCGGCCTTCGGAGTGTTTTCAGGTCCCTTTGAGCTCTTCGCATTGAATTCCGTAATTCCAGTTGCGCTGCCGCACGATTCCGCGACCGCGTTCGGTCCGATATGTGGGGTTCCTCATCGGGCCGATGTATCTGCGATGCATCGCCGCTTCCATGTCGATGGTGTTCCCCCCCTCTCCGCCCCCTTTCCATCCCCCGCCCGCCAGTGCTGGGAGTGGCTTGGCATCGCTTGGACGTGTGTGTGTGTGTCTCTGTGTGTGCGCGTGTCTCTGTGTGTGTGCGTGTGTGCGTGCGTGCGTACGCGCGTGCATGCGTGTGTGTGTGTGTGTGTGTGTGCGCGCGCGTGCGTACGTGCGTGCATGCGTGTGTGTGTGTGTGTGTGTGTGTGTGTGTGTGTGTACGTGTGTGCATGTGTGTGTGCGTGCGTGCGTGCGTGCGTGCGTGCGTGCGTGCGTGCGTGCGTGCGTGTGATGGTGTGTGCTCCGGCGAAGACAATCGAGGAGCATCCTGGATCATCAGACGCACGAGGCCGAAAAAGGTGCGAGGAAGGCACGTCCGAGCGATGGCGATGCATCGGCCGCTTGCCTTGGACAGGACCATCGCCGCTTGCAGGTCGATGATTGTCCCCCCTCTCCCTCTCATGACGATGACGATGACGATGACAATGACGTCATCGACATCGTCAGGTGTGGGCCCTCTCGGTGCGTCTATGCTTCGGTGCGGACCGTTGACGCGCCTCTTCTCCGTCGTGGTCGTCGTGCTCGTCGTGCTCGTCGTGCTCGTGCTCGTCGTCGTCGTCGTCGTCGTCGTCGTCGTCGTCGTCGTCGTCGTCGTCGTCGTCGTCATGGTCCATCCCGCCGGTGCTGGGGGCGAGCCGGCGAGCCGCCCGGGGGCGCCGAGGGGCAGGCGGCGGCGACGCCCCCGACGGCGCGGGGAGGCCCCGACGCGGCCTCCCCGCGCCGTGGGCAAAGGGGGGCGCGGCGGGCTCTCTGCCCGGGCCGCCTGCGGCCTCCACGAGCCTGCCACCACACGGCGCGGGGGGACGGAAGGCCCCAGGACGCTGCCGGGGGGCCCCCATAGGACGCCCCCCAAGAGGCACCCCCAGACCCGCTCGCGTCGCGAACAAAGTCACGACGGGAGGTTTTTCGCCATGGTCGGCCTCCGGGGGCCCTTGCGCGGTCTCGGGACCGTCAAGAAACGACTCTGGAACGACTCTTCGGGGGCGGAAAAGAGGGGGGTGATGACCAGGGGGGGGTGGATATCATGGCGTGGGCCATGATATTTCCCCAGATTTCATGGCGCGGGGTCGACGTCGTGGAAGGATCACGGCGTCGGGGGTCTGGGCCCCCAGGACTTCCAAGAGGCTCGACGCGTCACGTGCGGCAGCACGGCCGAGAACACCACGACGACAGCGCGGCCGTGGGCCTCGCGCGCCGCCGCAGAAGACGGCGCGGGACGAGAGACGGGGGTGGAGGCAGACGGGGGTCCGTCAGAGCGCCGGATCGTGCAGGCCGACGGTCTTCGCCCCTCCCCCCCCCCCCCCTGCTTCGTTCCCCCTGCCCACCCGAGGGCGCGAGGGGCTGGCGGCGGCGGCGCCTCCCGACGGCGCGGGGAGGCCCCGACGCGGCCTCCCCGCGCCGCGGGCAAGAGAGGCACCACGGGCGTTTTGCACGGGCCCCATGCGGCCACGCCTCCGCGAGCCTGCCACCCCGGCCGTCGAGAGGACGGCTCGGGGGGAGCGTCGGGGCTCACAGAGGCGGCGGTCAACGCAATATTTGGCATCGCCTGGACGCGTGCTTTTTTCCCGGCACGGACCATCCTGCGATATCAAGTGCACGCACGACATCGAAACATGCACGGGGATTCGATCGGCGATGTATCGCTGATTCCAGGTCGATTGCCCCCCCCCTCAGCCAGGCCCCCCTATCGTTGCCCCTCTCATCATGGCACGCTGGCGCGGCCCAGCCGTTGGAGAGATAGGGGCGCAGATGCCGAAGGTTATGCCGGCGAGTTGCTCATCTGTTGCCCTGGGGCTCAAGAGACGGGGGTGAATGCAAATGGGGATGAGTTGAAGCGCCTGATCTAGTTTGCAGGATCCTGCAGAGCCAGGGTTACATTGACCCAGGCTTGGGCGCAGGATCCGGCAGGACCCAGGTTTGAATTGACCTGGGCCAGTAGATCCCCGATGAAATGGCGGCCCCCATGGAATGAGTTCAGATTTCCGGGGGCTCACGTTCTGTGGAAGAAACGCGACGTCACAGGTTTGTGAGAGGCTGGTTTGCCGCGTGGCCTCCATAATCGTGCTGGCGGCGTCGAAATACCCATCCAGAAGAACCTGCCTGGTCGAATCTGCCCTGGCGCCGAGACGCCCGGAAGGCGAGCTGGGCCCTGGGCGCGGACGATGTGCAGGACGAGGAGGACCAGGAGGGCGACGACGATTTCGATTTCCATGAAGAGATGGGCGACGAGGACGGGGAGTAGGAGGGGACAGAGCCGCGAGAGTTGCTCAAGGAGCTCAATTCGAAATCACAAGCTTTAGGCCCGTGCTCAAGCCGGGCTGAGCTACAGACAAAATATACATCAGACACAGACCAGCGCACAACGTTGGGGTGCGTGATTGGGAGGAGGACGGCATAGTAATAACATACATACTATCATAATCTCCATTCACGTCTACATCACTTTCGTGTGGTAGTGTGGACCTGCTTCTCATCACAGGGAGCAGGAGGAGCCCTCTGCCCCCCCAATCCGTGCTCGCCCGCCCATTCCCCATCCCATCTCCTCTCCTCCCCGTCCCTCGTCTTAGCTCCTCTCCCCTCTCCCCTCCAGTCCTACTCCAGCCCCGCCCTTCCCTTCTCCTCCCATGGATAGAAGATAAAGAGGAGGGGACAGAAGGAGTGGGGGACGGCACCGAAGCCAGGAAGCTGAAACGGAAACGGAGGGGGACGCGTAATTACCGGGAAATGCGGACAGTGAATGGGGAGAGGGGAGGAGAGGGGTGGAACGACCAGAGGAAGAAGAGACGTCAGAGCAGGCATCAGCGGGCGAGGAAGCTGGCGAGGGGAGGCGAAGGGGCAGACCAGCCACAATTGGGGAGGAGTTGCGGCCCCACCGGCCCTCCTCAAGGGATCGTCGATACGGTGGTCACCCCCCGCCCCTCCCTCCATCCTTCGCGGTGTCCCGCCGCGGTCACGGAGAGGCCCGTCATCCCTCTCCCGTGGCGACCAGGGTCCACTCCGATGGGCTTCCCCGCCCCAGTTTGGTGTGGCTTTGCGGTTCTGTCCCCCTCGGGGCTGTGCTGCCCACCTGGCCCCTCTCCCGCCCTCCCTGCTTCCCTCCCCTGCGCCGCGTTTCACAGCCTGGGGCCCAGGCTGTGAAACGCGGCGCAGGGGAGCCGACCTCCTCCCACGGGGGCGGCGGGAGGGCCGCAGAAATAGCTCGAGGTTGGGCGGCTCGGCTTCCCCCTCTCCGCTCCGGAGGCCATTGCGCTGCTCAAGGTCGACGCCGTGAGCATCCTGATTCGGTGCGCTGACGGCTCCGTGCAAGCGTCCGTGAAGAGCGAGCGCGGCAGCGAGGAGTACGCCGTGCGCACTGGCCCGCCGGGGGGTGCCGTCGTGACCGCCACGTGCTCGTGCCACGACTTCCGTCGCCGCGGCGGCCTGTGCAAACACGGTGCGGCCGTGGCTCTGATGGCGCAACGGGAGCAGGTCGGCATGGCCCCGCGAATTCTCCACGAGTTATAGGCATCGGGACCTTGTACAGTCTGATTTCACCAGTAACCATGTCAAGGTTGTGGCTGGGCCCATGGGTTGGGCCGGTCCCTGGGTGCTGCCAAAATTCGATTCCTGGGCATGATGTTGATGCTCCGGGTGCAGTGCACAATGTGCAAAAGGAAGGTTGATCTTCGTGTTGCTAGAACTACACTCCTGGGCGTGATTTTACTCGTCTGGGTGCGACCCTGACGGCCGCACGGGCCCATCCTGCCCAAGGAATGTCCCCCTCTCCCGAGTATGATATGCGACATTCGAGTGATGCCGGAGCCCCAGCGCCAGCGCCTATCAGGCCCGCGTAGGGCCCCCCCCTGGGACGACACGAGCTCAGATATCCTCCGATATGATGTTTTCAATCCGCGGCCCCGGAGATCCCGACTCCTTGCTAGGGGTATGTTTTTTGTCCTGGGTCAATGTTTGATCGTCCATAGGGCCCCAGAGGCCGAAACGGATGAGAATCTGTCAGGGTTCAAGAGACGGAGGTCGTTCAGACAAAGGTCAGCCAGGGCGCCGGATCTTGCAGGATCCTGCAGAGCCAGGGCTGCATTGACCCGGCCTTGGGTGCAGGATCCTGTAGGATCCTGCAGGATCTTTCAGGATCCTGCAAGGCTGGACTGACCTGGGTCTGCACTGACCCAGGTGAGCAGATTCCCGAATCTGCCGGCATTGGAAAACAAAGACCCGCCGAAGTCTGTGGGCGCAGTCTCCAGTCGGGCCGAGCGAAGGGGGGTGATAGGGAAAGGGGGGGGTACGAAATCTGCTGCGTGCAGCTGGTTTCGGCCCCACCGAGGGGTCCATTCCTCGATACATGGCCGCCTCCCGGCGCCGGGAGGCGCCAGGAAGATCAGCTGCGTGAGCTGTTTCTCAAACCCCCCTTTGCTGTCCCCCCCCCCTTCCCCCTCTTCGCCCGGCCGGGTCCAGTCTCCAGTCTCCCCCCGCCACCGCCTGCAGGGCGCCGAGCCCCCAACGCCGGGGCCCCTCGGGGCGGCCTGCCGCCCGGGCGCGGCCGCGGCCGCGCGCAAGAGGCGCAGGCCCGGCTCGCCAGAGGGCGCCGCCGCTGCAGCGCCCGGGCCGCCGCCGTGCGCATGGGGAGCCGGCAGGTCCTCGGGGCGGCGGCGACGGCGGCGGCGGCGACGACGGCCATTGCGACGTCGCCGTGCTCAACGGGGGGGCCGGCAGGGCCTCGGATGATGTTGTTCCCATCGTCTTATAAGGGACCCCACATCCCACAAACAATCCGCAGGGGCTTCGCCCCCTGCCGCCGGCCCCCTCTCCTCGGATAGTGGGCAATGCAAGGGTGAAATCATGAGGCCTTGGCGCCGCCGTGAAGCAGCGTCGGGACTTCACGCGAAGACGACGAGTAATCGGCAAGACACATTGAGATTATGATGATAATATTGTTGAATTCGGTGTTGTGTTTCGAGGGTTTATGGCTTCGGATACGCGGATAGCGCGTACATTACGAGGTTGCATAGCGTAATTTACGCAGGTTTATCGTTCGGAGACGCGAATCTGCGGAGTTTACAAGGGTGTATGGCTTCGGATACGCGATCATTGTATAATGCACGAGGGTCTATTGCTTCGGGGTTGCAGAGATTGCGTCATTTATTTAGGTTTCTAGCTTCGGAGACGCGACAACTAAGTAATTTTCCATGGTTTCTGGCTTCGGGGACGCGAATACCGCGTGATTTACGAGCGTTTGCGGCCGCGGGGACGCAACGATCGCGTAATTTACGAGGGTTTATGGCTTCGGGGATACGAATGTGGTGTATTTTGTGAGGGCCCATGGTTCCGGGGGCGCGAATATAGAGTAACTTACAAGGGTTTATGGCTTCGGGGACGCGTGTAATTTACTTATGGCCTCGGGGGCGCGAATTTCATGTATGTTTACGTGTCCCACCCCCCCCCCAGGAATTCAGACAACGCGATTCGGGCGTGGTTACTAGGTTCCTTCTCGGCTCCACCCCCCCCTCGCGCGGTCCATCAACAAGGAACAGTGAGCACCAAGAAACATACTGTAAAAGTGGAAGCTGGAAATTGGACCTGGTGCAGGGAACAGCACACTTTGGTCCTACAGCCTGGTGGCCCCACAATGGGCCAGAAAAGTATCGAAACAGTATCTGTCCGACACGCTTGGCAAAGAGTCGAAGGAGTAGCGCCTCCCAAGGCCCGACACGGGATGACCCCTCAGTTCCGGTATTTCCAAGATGTTCGAAGTTCTATTTGGTCATCAAGGTTCCTTTTCTTCCTCCTCCTCCTCCTCCCTCCTCCCTCCGCCTCCCTCCTGCTTCTCCTCCCTCCTCCCTCTTCCTCCTCCTCCCTCCTCCTCCTCCTCCTCCTCCTCCTTCTCCTCCGTCCTCCTCTTCCTAAAGCAAGTTGGGACATCAGAATCCTAGGCGCGGGCGGCGGGCTCACGGCGGCGAGCGGTCCGCGTGTCGCAACTTGCGTGCACCTGGCGTGTTCTCTCGCTGGTCTTCGGTGCTCCCGGGGAGCAGCACCAGTCGACCCCGCTCGGGAGATCCTCGGGGGCCCCCAAACGGGGTGGTGACCACACCGTGCGGTGACGGACCGTGCGGTGGGGTCTTGCGGGATTTCGAGGTCACCGCACGGTCTGTCACCGCACCTTTTCGGGACTCCAAAGATCCCGCAGGCAGACGGTTGCAGACTTACAGATTCGCGCCTCGCCAAGGGGCTGGAGGAGATTCCGAGCACCGTCCCCCCCCTCCACGGGCCAACGAGCCGCGGCCACCACGCGCCGCGCACTCCGCTCAGAGCCCCGAATCAGCAGGGCTGGGGTCGGTCAGGGGTAGCCCCTGAGGGTCTTTCGTGCTGATACCCTCCCCCCTGGTTCCTTTCGGCGGTGCATAAAAACAGGTTCCTCCTCTTCCTCCTGTTCCTCCTTCTCCTCCTCTCGCCCCTCCTGGGCGAGATGGGGGAGGAGGAGGAGGAGGAGGAGGAGGAGGAGGAGGAGGAGGAGGAGGAGGAAGAGAAGGAGGAGGAGGAGGAGGAGAAGCAGGAGGAGAAGCAGGAGGGACTTCATGCAGTCACAAAAGCAGTGCGGCGACAGGGGAATAGTTTCTCTTTATAATGTTCGTCGGGCGCGGTATTGTTGGTCGGTAGTTCTTTTCGCAGGCATTAGAATACCACACGGACTACAGCGCGCGCGATAGAATGTGTGAGCACAATCTCAGGAGGATTGTAGCACAAATCGCTCAGAGTTCTCTTCAAGTATAGTTCCTTGAATACAGGTCGGAATGTTTGTGGCTGACAACATTGTGCGATAATTTGAAAGGAAATCGGGGCGAGCGGAGAATAGTGCCCCTCGAATGGTCGTCGGGCGAGATATTGTTGGATTATCCGGACTGGGGGGCAGTCCGGGGTAGCTCGGAGGCGGACAGACCTCCTACCCTGACACGTCGATTGAGGTATTGGCCATTTTCGGTTCGCGAGAGGGCGTCGCGGCCGTCATTTTTGCGGGTCCAGGTCCGTCGGTTTCGGTCCCAGAACGCGCCTTGGGAAAAGTCCAGGGAGAGGCGGGAGAGGTCCAGAGAGCGGCGGATGAACAGAAGGATGATGAAGCAGGAATATCAGGGGCAACGATAGAGGGGGTAGGCGTAGATGGGGACGCATTGACCCCCAATCGCCCACTGATCGACGATAAGGGATCTGATAGCCCCAACATGCCCAGGAGCGTGCGGATTCACCATCGGGGGCCAATCGCCGATCCATCGGCGATATATCGCCGATTCCAGCTCGAGGTTATCCCTCATGCGCCAGTCCCCCCTGTCGTTGCCCCTCAGAGGACCAGAAGCGGACAGGATAGCTACCCGTGCTTCCTCATCCTGATCTTCTTTGATATTCTGATATGTGAAAGTTGCTGCTACGAATGTCTGGTATTTTGACGCATATCCAGGTTCCAACTCCAGTTCGGTTGTTCCTGAAGTACACCTAGCCCAAGAAGCGGACAGGCAGTGATGTGGAGATTGATGGGCCGAGGAGGAAGGCGTCGCCAGGCGCCTCGGCGCCGCGCTGGAGCTGGCGGAGGAGCCCGAGAACGCCACCCCTCCGCGCGTGCAGCCGGTGCCACGGCCAAGCGCGCGGTGGCCAAGACCACCACAGGGGGTCTCCGTCGTAGGGGAGGAGGAGGAGGAGGAGGAGGAGGAGGAGGGGGAGGAGGAGGAGGAGGAGGGGAGGAGGGGGAGGGGGAGGGGAAGGTGGAGGTGGAGGACGAGGAGTTGTATGAGGAGGAGGAGGAGGAGGAGGAGGAGGAGGAGGAGAAGGAGAAGGAGGAGGAGGAGGAGGAGGAGGAGGAGGAGGAGGCGTTGGTGGTCGTCGATTTCGCCGTCGTCGTCGTCGCAGGCGCGCGTCGGCGCCCTTGCGGTCGCGGGCGAACGCGGGGCGCTGCCCGAACGCACGAGGCGCGAGGCAGATATCGCAGCGCTGGGCCCCTCAGTGGCCCGCCGCGCCGCGCGGCGCCAACGATACGTCGCTCTCAAGGCGGCGGCGCATTGAGCTGGGTGCGTTTTCGCTGGCGCCAATGTTGTGACGACTCGTGCGTCAATGACTGGCATACTAGTTACAGGCGGCGTATCAGGCAACACGAGTGCACATACATGGTCGTTCAGGCGCTGGGCAGTGGCGACTACTACGACGCGCAGGATTACCACGGCAATCTCGGCTACGACTGCTTGGACGACTACATTTGCTATCGCAGCCACGCGGGCTACCACGGCGTCGACGCCTACCGGGACTACATTGACTTCCAGTGGCCATCAGCAGAATCACGGCGGCAAGAAGCAGAGTTTCGAGAACCAGTGGCGAAGCTACCACGGGCACCAGCGCAGCTGCTGCGGCAGGAAGCAGAGCTCCACCAGCACAGCTACAGTCGGGGCCCTGAAGAAGAAACCCTTTTGGTTGGGGAGGGGCTCCGCGTTGCTTAAGTGTTTCACAGCTTGCCTCAGGTTTTCCTTATG